GTCGTTATAATCTACAGAACTTCAGCAGGACTCAGCTCCGCCATAGACCTTGGCCGTTGGCGATCGCTCCGCCGAAGCCGTACCAGCGGTCTTCGGCCTGGTGAGGCGCTATGTTTCTCTCGGCTCTGCTAACGCAAGCGTAGAATCGCCCAGAGTCTCGTCACCAGCCCGTTCCATACTGCATTGCCACCACTTCTCATTATAGCGATGTGTTGGTGTTGTTCTTCTTTTTCTTTTTGCCCCACCATTGTTGTTGCTGCTGTTGTTGTTGCTGCCGTTACTGCCGTCATCGTCAACGATGACATAGTGGTAGTGGTAGTCGTTGGAGTTTTTTTCTCTCCCAGGGAGCGGTAGCAGGACGGCGTCCGTGCATAGATGCGCCCATCGCAGGTTTAGGGAAGCAGGATAGCCTGCTGCATGAGCTACTGCAGCACCGGTCGAGGCTGGCCACTAACTGGTTGCTGTGTTCATGGCGTGCAAGCGGGTGCAAGCATCGTGTGCGTATGGGGCATCGTTGGATAAGGACAAGAAGAGTGGAAAGAATAGGGCTGATGGTTCGGGGGGTGACCGACAGGGAGAACCGAAGCGAGGTTGGATGAAACAGAGGGGTGTTTCAGCCTTCTGCCAAGTTGGCAAGTTCAGCGTTGCAACAGCAGTATCAGCACGACGAGGCATGGTGTACGGCAAGCAAAGGCATCGGAGGCAGTGCCAATGGTGATCATGCTGCCAGCGTAGGCATGGAGGCAAATGCAGTCATAGACGCAGCCTGCATCACAAGCGAAGGCGTCAGCAGCAGAGCGGCAGAAGAGGCGAGCTACGTAGTAGACGAGACGAGACGAGGCGAGGCGAGGCAAGGCAATGCAAGCAAGCCGACTTTGCCAGGAGGCTCTGGCAGGGCGGCTGGCTGGTCGAGAGTTTTTTGGCATAATCTACCCCCAGCCCCTGCAATCCCAATGCCTAGGCAACCCTTCATACTCCTGCAGCCAGCTCCACCCCCTGGCACACCCCACAGATCCCACACTCATTCCTCGTCTATTGCCGCGGGCCTTTTGTCCTCTCTCTCGTCCTTTCTCTCTTACTCTCCTTCTTTTTCGCCTTCCTCCTCTACCTTATTTCCCCCTACCCAAACGCTTGCCAACTTCCGCCCGGTCGGTCGGACGGTCGGCAGGCTGGCTTACAGTGGGGACGGTGGCACAATGGCCAGCCAGCACAGAGTCTCCGCGACCCTTTCTCGGTTTTGCAACGACAAGCGCCGGGTGGGGGCGAAAGAACTTTACGCCGGTTGCTGCTGCTGGCTGTTTGCTGCTTACGCCTTTTGCTTTGCCCCGGAGATAGACCTCTCCTGTCCTGTAGTAGGCCTGCAGGCTGGCAGGGGTCCTTAATATTGAAGGAGTGTAGGGAAATTTGCAGCGGGAACATTGGGACGACAACGACGACGACGACGAAAGATTGGGGTTCGGGAATGGGCCCAATCTCCTTTCTTCTAAGGGGTGGAAGGGCAAGCGAGAAGAGCAACCCGTCAAATGAAGGGGGTACTGTAACTGGGACGCCCGCTTCCGAGCAGGAACAGTGATATAGAAAGAGACAGCAAGAGAGAAAACCTAGACGGAGCTGGGGACTAAGGGGTAGAAAGCGTACGTAGGGGCGGGGGGAGGGGGGAAGGACGGAGGAAAGGCGGCGTTGGCAAAAAGGAGCCTCCTAGTTAGAAAAAGGAGGAGGAGCGTTTTTGGTCTGCGCCCCACCGATCCTTGCTTTCTTATCCTCTCTCTCGCATCACCTACCCCCGGGAGAGCTTCCGCTGATGCTTCTGCTGCAACGGCTGCAGCTTTCATTCCCTTGCCCTACTATGTGCCCTGGTTGTTGTTGGTATTGGCATATGCAAACGGTAGTCACTGGAAGCCTAGCAGGCTTGGTTTGCCCCGGTTCTTCGTTATGCAGGCCAGGACCCGTATGCGCCTTTGCTCTCAAGTCGTGCAGCTGCAGCTTTGGCTCCTGAATCCTGCTCCTACTCTGCTAGTGCCAGTTCTTCTGCTGCGACTTGCTTCCACAAAGTAGTATACTTTATACTCACACACCCACAGTCAGACATAGGCAGGCTCACGTATACAGGCATCGCGTTTTCTCATCCTGTACGAAAGGAGAAAAGAACGAGGTATTGCTCTTCTTATTTCTTTTGTCGTTCCTTGCATACAGGTACTTAGATACTTGAATAGCTAACAACCAAGCTATCAGCCTTTGGCAAGACGAATGCTTGCGCTGAACGCCGGCAAAATCGCTCTCGAGTTGCTTATTTGTCTCCTTATCTACTTGGCCTAAGTTTACGATTGAAAGTCTGTCGACCGTCAGTATTTGGCAAGGTTACGTATGCTAGTATATTTAGCGTCGACGCTAGGCTAGGTTATCCTATTAAGGTGTTGACTCAATATGGAGCTACTGCCGAATACGGCAGAACGGTTGCCGGCCAGACACGCAGCCATCGCAAAAGGCTGTCAGCTTGGCAGCGAACCTCGATGCAATTCGGGCATAGATCTCTCCGTTCCGCAAGCGACAATGAGCGAATGTAGAGAGCTGTGTATGGAGTAGGACATGTTTAGGGTTTGATCAGGCTAGACTAGAAAATAATACTAACAATAACCAGCAACCAAGTCCATTTGTGTAGCTCGATTACGATAGGGCACCACACCAGCCAAATCTCAGCACAGTTCACTCAGGAGCACGTGGAGAACTTTGAGGAGAGACCAACAAAGCGGACGTCGTAAACAGGTCAGAAATTGGGGGTCGCAGACATACCTGCTCTTTGTAATCTGCGCACACACAGAGCCGCGCAAAGCACAGATTGAACACGTTCACAGGCGTAGACACAACGGCAAGGGTAACCTTAAGGATTGTGTATTGTACGAACTGAGGAGAAACTACGAAAGACTGCGCGGAGGACATGTGGTGTCTATATCTAAGTACGTCGTCTGCCTATGCGGCGGTGAATAACGAAGAAACATTCTCATGCGCTAAGTTACCGTTACAGATGTTGAGAGAAAACGTTTCTATTGTCCTTCAAAGCAACTAGTGCTAGAACACATGCGGGCTACTCATACAAGTTTACGGCTGACAACGTGTTATATGGCCTATTGAACTACCATGGGACAAACATCTCATTTTATATATCTTCGTATATATATATATATATATGCTAATATGTCATCATTACAACGACGATAATAAAAAAAAAGCATGTTTATTTTATTAGATGTATGTATCTGTATGTAAAATACAACCATATCTGGATAGAAGACTACGCGTAGAGATCCATCCAGTACACACATATGTATATTTAAATGTATACGTCTAATTATAATAAGACAAACGAAGCTAAACCCTTTAGCTGTATTTCCGTAAGTCTATCTAGGAACATTATAACAAACTGTCTAGCTCGAGACAGTTGGCCTGAATGGCTTGTTCTAACGAGGACAAACGGAAATGGACCGCCAACGCGTACCCGTATATACCCATTTATATTTTTAAAACCAACATCAGCGATTATTGGCTATCGTATAATTACGACTACTACAGGTGTAATTATAGTTAAAATATCGTAACTAGTGCTATTGATAGTCGTCATTATTAATGATCTTTCATCTAAATAAAGATAATTATTTAATGTAATGGTAATTTTAAGATGCAATTTCTAAAATAGATTGCGGAAAGCGACAGTTTAAGTAAATATTGCCGCTGCAAGTGGATGAACGATAAGTGATTGACGCTATTGGTAGCTAATTAGGACCCATACTTCAAATTTGATCGATTCGTAGCGACTCTCGCACTTAGTTTAATAATTGGAAAAGCATGGTTGAGAGCTTTCTTATACAAGCTTGTTTATTACGAACAATTTTCCGGACGCGTAGCTTTAAAGTGAAATTACTCAAAAACGTATTATTGGTTGTGGGCCTAGTAAGGCCTACATCTAAATAATGTCACGTGCTTTTTCGTATCACCTGTCCATATCACACTCACTAAGCTAGAAAATTCGTGTAAACAAGGACTAAGTGCATTTTTTTCTCAATTCGATACAAAAAATCACTTATCTTTTAGGCAGGATTTGAGGAATTGTCATTTTTTCGTTGTCGATGGGATAGTAATATGCGTTCGAAATAACAAGGATTAGCCATTAAAGAGACTTGGCACCTGCGGAAAAGTGTTGCGTTTTGGAAGATTTCGTTCGTTCATTCATAGAAAATAAAAGCTTTTCAAGTGGAAGGGATATTCAGAATCAAATCTCTAAGAAAGTCAAATGGCGTTTCGCGGACGAAACTTTTCATAAATCTAATCTGCACATGATAAGTCACAACGGGCCGCAAGGCCAAATTTAATGATGGCCAGTTGTTTGGCCGAGCAAACACTGCCAACATGGCACCGAAGCCGCTTAGCCTAACGCTTCGAATCATCCCCTGTACATAGGATCAAAAGTAGCCTCGAAAATAATCAACATATGAAAAATCATGCGATTCTCGAGCTTCTTCGAATTTCAATTATTCCGAGAATATTTCAGTGCATTGAACAATTAATATGTGCTTATAGCATACATATATATTCAGATAAAGTTACCGTTATGAGTCTGATATTAACTAAACTTACCAACCTCGAAATAAAATAAGATGGACCTATTGATGAAAGAAGTCGTTATTACAACTTTCTGTAACAACGACATATTTCGGTATCTTGGTATCATATTTGGAGCTTTATGCAGGTATTCATAAAAAAATTTCTATATAGAATGGAGAGTTAAGGAGGGTTTGAATTTCAAGGAAAAAGTAAAGTATGATGGATGTTGCTTTTTTTTTTTTTTTTTTTATATTTTTACCATAAAGGAACCATGACTCACCTATGTAGCCGAATATAATAATAATTTTTAAATAATAATATTTTTAAGAATAAAATTTAAAATTAATGAAGAAAAATCAAACGTAATCTTTGATATCATAGCATACTTTGTCATTTTTTTTCTGAATACCGTGAGACCCCAGCTTGACTCTACAATCAGCATCGCTTTCTGAAATTAATTCTAGGTTGATTAATCAGCCTGACTATAATGGAAGTCAACGATAGCTTAGCATATATTTGCTCCAAAGGTCACAAAATGAACTAATGAATTTGATGCGAGGTTTAAGGAGCCCCCTCACAAGGATAATTCACTTCCCAAATAAGGTTTGACGTTTCAGCGCTACCGAAATATACATATACATATACATATGCACTCAAATGCATTACGGCCTCGCGGTCTCTCACTGTTTTTCCACTTAACCCTATCATTGAGCACCTGGAGCTGCTTTTGTTGGGTCGCCATCGTCCTTGCATCGCGCGCCATCTGCCGGTCGCTAGCGCAACCTCCTAGCAAAAGAAAATCGTAAATATCGCACGTTCGCTCACTAGCTCCGCTACTTCATCTTAGTTCGACTCAATTTGATCAACTGCTGAGAAGCTCCGCTGTTCTTCGCTCCGCTTCACCACTGCGGCCGTCGCGAGACTTAACCGCTAGCGGCAATCGCAGCCATGCGCATAGTGCCGTAGAGTAGCTACAGTCTTCCAGTTGTCTACGCAGGCACTAGCGTCCACGAAGGGTTTCCTTGTGGGAACCTTTACCGGCGACTGCTCGCTGCGTCGCAGCTGCTCCTTGTGGAGCGCATGCCGCCGCCTGCTGCGGCCGCCGCAGACCCGACGACTGCTAGCGGTGCCAGTCGTTTTGTCGATGTTTGTCGCTACTGCTGCCGGCTACTGTCTGGCGGCCAACCGCTGGTCGCTTGAGAGTGACTATTGCCGGCGCCACCAGTCGACGCTGGTGGTGGCGAGCGCTTTCCAGTGAGCGGCGACGACGACTGCTCCGCAAGCGTGGTTAGCCGCCGCTAGGCGCTGGACCTGCTCCGCTGTCTGTGCTGCCTGTTACCAGATAGTACGCAAGCGTTGTTATGATACGACGGTGGCGACAACGATGATAGAAAAAAAACACCAAAAAATTTCCCCTGTCTGTCTGTCTGTCTGTGCGAGTACTGATGGCCACAACGAGAGGAGTTCGTAGTTACAGTAGTAGTAGCGTTTTAGCAGCTTTGAGGCAGGGACCGGTCGCCAAACGCTTCTGTGTATCCGGACGGGCGTTGTAACGCTACGTGCGGCAGCTGCGTAGTGTGTACATATAGCCGATCTAGATGAGAGCTGGCGACCAGTTAGGTCAGCCAGCAAATTTCTATTGGTTTGCGTGTTCGAGGTAGAGTCGCGCGGCGCGCATCGCTGATCAACCAACAACGAACGAGCCCCTGCTGGCCGTTGCGTCGCTGCTGTTGCGAACGCGGCCTGCTGCTGCTGCTGCTGCTGCTGCCTGCCTGCCTGCCTGCCTGCCTGCTTACCGTCAGTAGTAACAGCAGTATCTTTTTGTTGTCGCCGTTCATTTGTAGTTGCTTGCACTATTGTTTATGGGGCACAAATCAAGGTGGCTGACTGCTGGCGAAATGGCTGAGTTGCGGAGTGGACGACGCGCGAACGGACAGACTGTGATCTTCGACAACTATCAGTGATGCTGTTGCTGTTCTTGGCGCTGCTGCTGCTGCTGCTGCTGCTGTGGTTCGTTGATGCTGCATTTTTCGTTCTCCGTAGTAGCGGCGCCGGCAGCGGCTGCGGTTCTGCTAGAGGAGGCAGCAGCGGCCGCCGTGGTATCAACACGTGCGTTAATAGCGACAGTTCTACTGGCAAGCAGCTGCTTGTCGCCTGTTGTTGTACTTCGTTACCACTCGCCATCGGCGTCAGCGATCTCGTGGCGCGCTAAACATTCAGGTCCGTGAGCTCGCCCTTGCTTATCCGACCGTAACGACGAAAACAACAACGACCACTAACAACTGCCACAGCGGCCCTACTAGTTGCTTACGGCTACGGCGTCGGCAACCGGGGGGTTTCCGTTAGCGCCAACAGCAGCAGCAGCCTCTTTGCACTTGTGCAACTGGCCAACCTTCCTCTAACCACTAAAACACCTCTGACGGCAGCAACCGAAGCAGATGCCAATCGCAAGCTACTGCGTGCTGCGGCTGCCGCCATTCGACAGCAACGAGGAAAGACGGTTACAGTAACAGCAGCAGCTAACGACGAAGGAGCCGGTAAGCACGACGGTACGAGGAGGAGCGAAAACAATACAACAACAACAACAGCAGCAGCAGCAGCAGCAGCAGCAGCAACAGCGCAAAACCGAAGCAGAAACTTCAGAGGTGGTGGCCGAATAGGAGCAGTCGGAACCGCGACGGCCGGAGGGCGCCCCAAGAATTGCTGCTGCTGCTGCTGCTGCTGCTGCTGTTGGGTCAGTATCACTCCCAGGCACGCGGCTAGTCAGCAGCGATCGGTTGTCGCTCCAGCGACCAGTTCGTTCGACAGACATTGAGTCTTCAGCGATCTGAAGCTTTTCTACGGGATGTACATGATGTTGCGTCGGCGTTCGAAGGAAATGATTGCGGGTCAGTCAGTGCGATAGGATAGACACCATTTGTTGTTGACGCCAATTGGTGACTGTATCGGTGTCGTTGTGATAGTTGTGTTTCTCTTTTTTGCTGTGATCGTTTCGAGTGTTCCTGGTGGGCGATGATGCGTGTCTGCGCTACAGGCGAATGTGGTTAGGTGTTGTTGTTGAGTTAAGCCGGCCCGCCCGCCCTACCCTACCAGAGCTCCCCGAATTTCTGTCGCAGTTTTACGTATACAAGGGCAGCTATACTGGCACAGCAGCCTATCAGTGTGTCGATTAATTCGTGTGTGCGTACAAGGTGGGCCATTGCCTTTATTCTCATTGTGATCGAACGCAAGTGACTCAAATACAGCAAATATGGGGGGTGTATTTACCAGTTTAGTGCGCTGCAGATAGCCGGCTAGTACAGAGCTTCGTTGTATTCGCTAGCGTTAGATCTTCATTCAGTCCGAGTCAGCTGTTCCCTTGAAAGCAGTCACTTGAGCTTACCATTAGTGTCACCTTTATCGTCATTGTGATTATTGTTACTGTTCTTGTGAACTGGTTGTTCAACCGTCGTACGCTCTAGCAAACCATCTCTCGAACGCCAACCATTAACACCACATCGTCGCCAGTATGCTTGACGCACAATCAGCTGTCACACAGCGCAGTAGTCGTATCGGAACAACTTCTAGACGACAGCAACAACTTCAACATTATGATCATCAACGCCGTTTTGAGAATCACCAGCGCTGTCGTAGTGCCTTAACTCAACCTCATGATTACCGTCTCCGCATAAGTGCGCAGCAAATAGTTGAATTCGTCAGTTCCTTCGTTAGCACGATTCATTTGGAAGCTGGCCTCCATCATCAGCATCGGTGAGGTGGGTACGCGGAGCCCCCCGGCTACGGCTGTTCGTCTAGCGGCCGCCGCTGCGGCTGCTGGCGAAGCCGTGGCGGGGGCTCGAAGAAGAGCGGAGCACCTGGCAGAGCGCTGGTGGTGCTCAGGGGCTCAGTTTAGACCCGGGACAACAGCTGCGGTGATGGCAGCCACCTCAGCGTCAACATCGGCTGGAGGAATGCCCGCCGAAGATCATACGCAGCGGTCGGCAAGTTCGGCCGCCACTTCGTCTTCGAATTTACACCCGTTCCCGCCGCCTGTAAGTGGACTGTGGCGTAATTTTGCGCACGATACGTGTAGGAAAAATACATGCCAGATTACCTGTGATACAGGCGATATGAATAATTCGCAGTATACGAACTTTTATGCCAGTAGGAATAGAAAGGGTGCGCGGCTCATATTAATCAAAGAGGTGGAACAAGGTATATTATATTGGGCGAACATTAAAGGGGCAAATGCTGCCTAAATGGAAAGGAACGTAAAGCGAACGGTAGTAATGTCGGTGTCGTAAACAGATTTATTTGAAGAGAACTCTATTCCACTGATTATTTTTAAGGGAAATTTTGTCAAAAAAAAAGTAACTACATGGAACTTTATTTGTTCCAGGGAGCCGATTTGAGTGACCTGTTAAATAACGTATAATTATATTGCACATGTTTCACGTCACCTTATTAGGTTATACGAAAGATTAACGCGGAGCTGTGCGTCGAATGTAGATAGAAACAAATGAAGTTCAAAAAGAAGATAATTTTTTTACAGTATTTTGCTTTTTTCAAAAAGCATCCCATGCGCAAATAAAGAAAGAAAATAACCAGAATTAATAATCTTAAAAGATTAGACCAAATGATTAGGACGCGCAGTCTATGTGGCCGTACTCAGGAAAAGACCCTAGCACACTGACTACGTCTTACTTAAACTTAACAAACTTCTGACCACTCGAAAAAGACATTTTTTAAATTTAATTTTGTACGGTTAGCTACATGAAGCTAGTTTTCAAGTAGATACGCGTCTGCATTTTTCTATTCATACTCAGCAGTGACCAAGCTACAAGTAGTCGGCGTTTTATAGTTAACTTTCCACTCACTCTATGTCAAAAATCATTGTTACTCAATCATAACAATTATTGGGTATTCCTTGCACAAAAAAAAGCTTTTTTTTTTTGCTCAAATTCTACTTTGTTGATTACGTGCAGCTTATCTACTCTTTGGGAGACGACCAAAATAGGTTAGGAAAAAAGCACAAATGTCAGATGCTATTTCCTCATATCGAATGTCCAAAGAGTTTATGGTAAAAATACGGTTCTTCGACGAGTCTCGTATTTTTCCACTCTGTTGCAGAGTTAATATTGCCTCTAATTGATGTCAATTGATTAGGATGGGACCACTACGTAACACGAGGATATTGCCAACTACAGAAAGTCAATTCCAAGATAATTACTTGTGGTTATTAGCGAATTTTCATTTAATTGACAAAAATTCATATATCGTGTCGTTCATGTTTTCCCTAATCTAGGAACGACTACCTGATTGGTAGTAATATCATTAAAACAATTCGCTACTCTTACATAATCAATTTTTTTATTATATACTTTATGCATTTAGTTTTTTTTTTTTCGGCCGAGCGCGACATCGCTTTTGGCTTCGTTCACGGCAGTTATTCGCTTAGCTTCCTTCTGGCTGCCTTTTCGCGCATGTCTGGGCCTTTCGTTGAAATGGCGGCATGCTATTTTCGTTAAGCACGTGCACCGTATATCGTTGCACTACATTTTGCTTTTGAGCTACCCCCATAAAACGAGTCACGTGGGGTTATGTCACATGATCTGGGTGGCCCGGCTGCCGGAGATCAGCTGCTCATTGAAGCGGTCATAGTATAATATGTGATTACGTTAGCAGTTCCTCGCTGTAGTGAATCGTACTGCTAAGCGCATATCTTGCAAATGCTTCCCGATGATTTAGGGTGCAAACAGAATTTACAGTGTTAAGGTCAATGATGCGTCATTTCTTAAGATGTAAACCTTTTGTGGATAGCCTAAACATTCGTATTTCCTACGGGTGACGGTATTGTTTGTTCGCATACCCCCACCATCCCGTCGCGTAAAAGTGTGCCCCATCGCTGAACGCAATTTCCATGAGGGAGTAGAGAGCCGAAACGAACAGCTGGCATGATGAAAGCCAAAGGAACCTAGGTTATCGATGTTGTCTTAGATGCATAAAGTTTGTAATCGTTCATGATGAATATATATTTAGTTGTTTTTTTTTTGTTGGCGTCATCCTGAAGTTGCCTCTGACTAAATGAGCGTTCGTGTATCTCGATAATTAAAATTCAATACTAGAAGCTGATTCAAACTCAATTTAACGATACTACTCTCTATTTATTAAAAATAGTGTTGTCAATTTGAATATAATATATGAGAGTCTTGCTAATCGTTAGCGAATACGCTACCTCTAGCAATATCGAGCAGCAAGGTAGCAATCGATCAAATCATTAAAAATCTCGATAGTTTGTTCATATTGAGAAAATTATAAAGTGCACTGATTCTTTGCAATCATCACACGCTGCGTGAGAAACGGCTATATGGATATATTGGCGATTCAAATCATAGGAAAAATTATATATATATATATATTCCGTTTTACTACTAGTACGTAGAGTAAAAATGGGCTCGATTTCGTAGTGAGGCAAAGTTTGTGTAGGAATGAACATATGTGTTTATGAGTTTTAAAAGTTGATGGTCATGACTTGGCAGTCTACTTGTTGTTGTCATTATTATTATTCTAATTAGCGCAGAGACCAGAAATATGGCTACTGTGCCATGTTATTGTACGTATACATTTTACATGATATGTTGATTACGGACAGCAGTGTCGGTAATTCGCTCGGAGTGGGCAAACTACCTCAGCGAGTCTTTGATAACGGCTGGTGTTTCTAGCTTGAAATGATTCCCAGAGCACTTTTACGGTTGGTTGGTTAGTTAGATGCCTTTACAGATAGGCCTCGGATCGATCGAGGAGGGGATGTCCATAGAACGAATATCCGCTTATGACTATAGTCACCCCTACAGCTAATTTCTTATCAAACCGGCGAGAAAGAGTGGTAAGGAGAACGTTGGCATTTAGCGCTAGACAGAGCTTTTTGTTACAGTGACATACGTCGACATGATGTCCGGTTACAACAGTTTTTTTTTTTCGACACGCTCTACAACTTAGGAATCACACGCGAGCCATTAATATCATAAAATATGCGCGTACAATATTTACCTAGATAATAGGTCTATGCGTAGTCTAGCCAAGTGAAAAATTGCACACTCTAATACAATTGTCGATCAGCCTAAGTTGGTGTCCCTAGTCAGCTAACGTGCGTTATACCCTAATCAAGAATCTCGATACGGCCGTAGGTGTGTATAATGTCCGAAAATGATTACTGGGTAAGTGATGACGAGACCATCTTAGGCCGGACCAAATGAAAGTCCCTAAAGTATGTTTAATCAGTACTAAAGAGTAATGTTTCAGAGTAAAATAACTGTGCACGTATACGTAAAGGCAATGATCCAGCATCTATCACACACGTCGCGCATGTTAACTTCTTCGAACCGTGCATAGCATTTATATGTACCATAGAACGTTCTGTTCATCGTGCTTGTAGCCCTCAAAATTGTTCTGCAATGCAATCGCAAACAAATTTCGGTACGCCGTAAATGTCACCTCTGTATCACCTGAATCTGTTGCCCCCTTCGTTTCTCCAGACAGTGAATGTATGCGTGGCGAACGCAGGCTCGTCCTGAAAAGCGCTAAAGAGCAATTTGTAGTGATCAGGCTCACGTAGAAGGAAAAGATGGGACAAGCTAATACTGTGTACCTCCCTATAGCGTACAAATGTGAAAGCTTATGGTATTTGTTTACCCATGACTCCCGTAGATACAGCCCTCTAGAAAAAAAACCGAATACAATTTTGTGCGGAAGATGCGGGCCGGTAATGCCAACAATCAAGCAATAGATTTGTTTCAAATATCGCACACTTCCTAGAGAAGCTCATCAATTATGAAATTGTTGAGACCGAAATGCCCGAACAATAAAAAAAAAAAGATACCTGAGAATTGTGAGCTAGCACAGGACTGTTTCACAGCAGTAGCGGATGTAAAGGTTGAAATTTTTTTTTTATCAAAGCCAAGAAATTGTGGTATGACCTTAAGTTCTGATCACTCACCTACACGCAAGCCGGTGTGACGATTTTACGAATAGAGTTAACAATAAGAATTACTTTAAGCATGGTTATTCAATCGTCTGAATAATGCTATCGGTCGTTTAAGCAATCAAGTTTGATTCGGATGTTCCCGAAAGGCACAATTATCGATCCATTAGAAGGTGATATCAATATTCATTATTGGCAGTGTTTTAGCAGGCAATGTGCGGGTCTTTTTCCTACGGAGCCTACAAAGGCATGCAGGTATCCGGCTGATGATTAATATCTGTATCTGTGAATGCCAGCTGGTTCATTTCAACAAACCGTATCTCATACATGATATAAATTCATATACAGTATAGTTCTCTAAACTGCTTTAGACCATCGTTGTGATAGGGTAAATAAAAGCGGTCAAGAAGCTATGGGCTTGATTTCAGCTAGTGTTAAGTGATTTCTAGTTGTTATTGTGTCGTATTGTTATGACCAATTAGCAGTCACATTACCACATCAATAGCCTACGTGTATACGCATTGATGATGATGTGATACGACGATCTCATTGTACTGAGTTTTGCCTTGATTCGGTCTGTAACTAAGTAGGCTACTGATTTCAAGCCAGATATTACCTTGAAGGACTTGAGGCTCCTCAGGTATACTTCTGGCTATTTTTGAAGCAAGCTTTTGCTGTCTTTACTTTGGATATCTCGTCTATTTTTTTTTAAGATATTGACCACTGAGCTTGCTTAATTAGGCCAGACAGAACAGGGACAAAAGGGTGTTCTGGCGCACGCTAGTCTCGTCTGACATCGCAGCTTTTTACTCAGCCTGCAGGGTCACCAGGTCGCACTGGGTTCCCTTTCTATCAGCTGGGTTGGTCGATGGTGTAGCATTTCGGGTAGGACCGCCCGGACACTTCTGCTTAGGCAGTTCAAAAAACTGCAATATAAATATCCCGAATATCAAAATCAATAGAAATTTGTCACCACTACATTGTGGTGTCTATAGAGCTGCAGTTGTCTTAACTATTATTGATTTTATTCGTCTGTTCAGCTAGCGACTACAACTTGCCTACCGAAAACAG